CAAACTCGATGATTACCGTATATATTGCCCCCACTATTTGATATGTGATCGATGGTGTGTTGAATGGATACGAATATCCATTAATTTCAATACAATTTAAAGTCGAGTTATTGTAATCAATGACAACAATTAAATTTGCGCTCCAAAAAGGCAACGATAGTATTAAACTGATTACCCAAATGCCTGTCAATAGCTTTTTTGTGGACACTTTGTTCAGCGGATTATTATTGTTGAACACATTTACGAGACTATAGTATTGATCGCACGATAGGAGTGGTATAGAAACTGCTATAATATATAACGAGGTTGCGCCAAAATAGATTACTAATGATCCCACAATCAATTTACCTTCATATTTATAACTTGTTTTAGATATACTTTTAAATGTAATGTTTTAATTTATAATTGTTTTAAATTAATTATTTCAATAAATTGTGATTTAATCAAATTGGTGAAGTTAGCACTAATGCGAAATAAAACAATTATCAATTATTATTCAAGTTGTGCTAATTATTTTTATTAAGTACATTTTATTATACTTTAGTACATTTTATGTTTTCGCAAATGTTATATTTTGTTGTATAAACCAGATTGCTTTATTGCTAAATATGCTAATTTTTATTATTATAAATTTCATCGTATCAGTGTATTTAAAAATTAAATATTATTTTATTTGCAAACATTTATTTATCCAACATGACTGACAAAATTGTACTTTTATTATTAACTTGTGTTTTAATATTGCATTCTATTTTAAATATATATTGTGGTATGCTTATTAAATGTTATTTTATATTTAAATACTTACTTACTTAATACAAATTTACTATATTATATAAAGTTTAAAAATGATATAAACAATTATTTAAAATATTTGTATTAGAATAAATAATTTGTATATCAAAATTGTTTATTCACTATTTTTATTATTTAGACTATAAATTTATAAGCGTTATTATTCTACATTGCATATAAACCTACATGTATGTAAAGTTTGTACATTATAAACTAATCATTAATATAATAATTTATAATTATCATCAGTAGATAATTGGCCGACTGTAAGGTTAGGAAACTACGCTTTCAATGGATATGTATCACAAATATCAACAAAGAGCCTAAACAACACACACATAAATGCAACTCTACCTATATTTATATTTAAGGTATTAAAAACATAACGAACTAAATAATAACTATAATTAAATATCATTTTTAGGGCATACCATACGCCACACCCCCAGTGGGAGACTTGCGATTCAGACCAACAGTCCCTATAAGTTATACACAAAAGAAGTCTATAAACGCAACACAATTTTCATTGAGTTGTCCGCAAACACCCAATTTAAATGTGACGGCGACTGCCATAAGCGAGGATTGTCTGTATGTAAACATATATACACCATCTGTGAATAAGTCGGCCAATTTGTCCGTCATGTTTTGGATATTTGGCGGCGGGTTTACTACCGGATCGGCCGTTAATTTTGACGGCCAACAGTTGGCCATTAGGGATGTAGTGATCGTCACGTTTAACTACAGGGTAGCCGTGTTTGGCTTTATGTGTACCGATAGGCCGGACGCGCCCGGAAATGCTGGTCTCTGGGATCAGGTGATGGCAATGAATTGGACGAAACAATATATAAGACATTTTGGCGGTAATCCCAATGATATTACAATATTTGGTGAGAGCGCCGGTGCCATATCTGTTAGCGCTCACGTAGTGTCCAATGTGTCAAATGGTTATTTCAAAAAAGCAATTTTACAATCGGGTGAAAATTAAATTATATATTATTAATAAATAATTATCTACATTATTATTAATGTTGATATAATTGTATCAGGTACCATTCTAACAAGTAGTACTGGCTCACAATCAAGCAATACACAGATTGCCAAAAGGTTTGCCCGTTTTTTAGGCTGCGATACAAACACCGATTATATCGCATGTCTTCGCACAAAGTCTGTCGAAGAGTTAATGAATGCACAGAATATAGATATCGTGTGGAATAGGGGGACAATTCCTGCGATCCCATTAGTAACACAATTATATCCGTTTACAGTGTGTTATGGCGATCAGTATTTACCCAAAAATCCGTACCAACTATTAAAACAACACAATTTCCGGAAAGACTTGCATATAATGATAGGCCATAACATGATTGAAGGGGCGATTGTGGGCCCGCTTTTGCCCGCAGTAATACCCTATTGGGGTCAATACGATCCGCGCATTCCCTTCACAATAATTGATAAACAATTGGCTGAAAAAGATTTACTAACTATATTTGATAACCAGCCCTATGACAAGACTTTGGCCCAAAAATACACGCAAACATTTAGCAATTGGTATAATATTAGCCAAACTAATGATTTGCGGGCGACTGTAGTTCAGGCCATTGCGGACTATTTGTTTGCCTGTCCGACGGTATTGTTTGGACAATATTTGGCCAAATATTCAAACTTTTCAGTTAATGTACACCAAAATTACTACCAATACATCTACAGTCAATCGGTCTGCTATA